CAATTCTCTATTTGGTGATATTTTGTCATTTTGGTAAAAGTGATATTTTCGACTTCTTGTTAAAAACCACAATCATTTATGGTGAAAAATGATATTTTTGAATTCTTGTTGAAACAGCAAGTCCCATTGCATTGATACTATGCATATTGTTCATTTTCTAATGATGTCTTCTGTTCTTTGATTGAAATGTGCATCGCTAACAGCGGATCTATCTGAGCCGAGAGGCTGCTTGTTTACAATTGCGAACTCTCAATCGTTAGTTTTTTGCCATTGCGAACTCGCAGCGACGCTCGCAATGGCCGTTTTATCGTACATTTACACACCTCCCTATTTTGACTGATTTTTATTTTGCAACCTATTGTACACATGTATACGTGATATGTATCAGTCAACAAAAATAGAAAGAACCTAGTTGTAATTATATTTCAACCAACTTTTTTTTTTTTTTTGCAGATAGCGAAAGATGCCAAGGAGTGTGTGCAGGAATGCGTTTCTGAATTTATCAGTTTTATCACCAGCGAGTATCCTTTTTATTACCATACATGATAAATTGTTTAGCTGTGCTCTAGCATAGGTAACTATGATTGTCAGTCGCCATTCATTTGTGTCAATGTTTTACATTTTTTAAAACTGCTCTCAGATTTGTTCATTTCATGTTGATATCCTCAATTTTCTGATTGAAATGTGCATTGGAGCTATCCCATCAGAGAGGCTGCTTGTTCTTGAAAGTTGATTTGGTAACCATTTAATTGAAAGCAGGCACAATTTTTCACTCACCTGCACTACATTTACTAACAGTTATAGCAACTATGCATGCACTTATTAGTGCAAGTCTGTGCTCTGCTCAAACAGCAGAGCTATTTCAAACACAAAGTCACTGTTTCTTTTCTCATATGATGAACAATAATTGTGTACAACAAAACTTTGTGTGAATTGTCTGAATTCAACAGTAAAACACCTCTGAAACTTTCAAAAAAAAATCAATAGACCAGCCACTAAACATCAATATTTTAAGAAACTTGTTGAGTTTTTTTTTTCTGTGTGTCATTGTTAGTTCTCAGGAAAATTATGAATTGTGTCAGTCTGCATCTGTATCTTGGACTTAACTTGGCTGATGTCATTGAACCTTTTCACATACTTGGAAACATATGCATGTCAATCAGTTTCACTATCCAATCCAGAATGTATGAACTATACCTATTGAATTATATATTAAAATCCAGAAAAAATCTGTCAACAAATGTGAACTCGTAGCATAACCAATTGATGATTTGATTTGTGTAAATACACGCACAGCATGGAAATGGTGCATTATGGAGGATACTTTATTGATAACTCGATTAATTTGCGGTCTTGCATTCAAAAACATGTTCAAAATTGTATCCTATTAATTCGCAGACATTTTGTTTGAGTTTTTATGTTATCAGTACTTGGTGTAGCCGCCACAATCGCAGACGATCTCCGTCATCACAGCCTTTAAGTTATCAAGCAGTTTAAGTTCAGTCAAGATTTGACCTGAAAAAAATCACCCCCCCACCCCCCATGACACTACAGATGTTGGGCAGCACATCGATTATGAATTTTCGTGATGGAAAGCTTAGTACAGGGCTTTTTAGTCGCTAGTCCACAGGGTTGCATCGACCATGTGTCCGTCATTTTGGAAAGTGATTTTATTCTATGACGTCATTTAAGTGATTTGCCCTATGGTGCATAAATTGACGTTTTTGATTGGTCGGGCAATTGACCTCGTGTCACATTTTCTTTATAGATGAAAGTGCTTGACAAAAAAAAAACAATCATGTAAACAATGAACACATGGCTACAAAGTAGTCGTTAACTTGTGTTGTTCTTCGGCAGTACACCAGACTAAAACATCTCGCACATACACACACACACACACACACACACACACATTATTTTGAACGGTAAATCCCTTTTTGGAGGATGTGGGTGGCCCTGAAAAGGGTTGTTTGGTTTGTGTTGTAAAAACAACGTTGTTGATTGTTTGATAGGTGGTTGTCGGCAGTGAAGTCTTCAAACCAACTATCATCTTCATAGTCGCAGGCTTTGCCAAGAATCAGGTCAGCAATTTGCGATTTTATCGCAATGAATATTCAAACTCAGTGCTATCGAGAATTCGTCGTAACGTTTTACTTGCACTATCACATGCATAAATATTTATTTTGTGTCTGGCGGTACTGCCTAGAAAAATAAAAAAAGGCAGTGCAGCCAGACGGCTACTTTGTAGCCACGTGTTTATTGTTTGTTTGTGTACAGAATGACCTTTGCCATTTCACTGTTCCATTTCAAGTGTAACATGGTGCATGGTCCTTGATGCAATGTGTGTTCTCTGCCCGACTATATGCCATGAATGATGCTGGCCATGAAGTCTCAGAGGCACTAAAACAACGTCCTGTAATCGTGTTCATTGGAAAACAAAACAAATCACTAATAAATTTATGCAAACAGTTCCTTTTTGAATCGATCTAAAAGTACTCATTTAATTCGCTCACCAAAAACCAATAATTTCCGTTTTTATGCTATTAATTTGCGCACTTGAAAAAATAATTATTTTTACTACTGTGAATTAATCAAGTTTTTAAGCTCACTTCAACAACAATAAAAAAAAATTAGTGTATCGCCATAAATCTGTTATGCAATAGTACAGTTGCCTTCATGATTTCAGCTAAGTCGGGGGTAGTTGAATTGCTCTCAATTCTATTCTGTTTTGTCGGCAGTTAATAAAACTTGCTACAATGAGTTGAATCCATTACTCTGATCTCTAGTTGAGTGGAATGTCTAAGCGATAGCTATCCAGTCTGTCTATACGTAAAAAACGTACTATAAATAAATCCATGTGTGTATGTGCTTTTCACTCATTTTCAATGCATGAACAAGTCCTCTTGGTATTTAAAGTCACAACTCCCGATGATGAGTTTAAGCTTGTATCCCGACACCTGAATTCCCAGAATGGAGATGGTTCTGTCAAGTATTGTTCTTATATTTATAACTGTACTAATATTTGGTGACTTTTATATGATTCTATTTACTAGTATGATATTATTTATAAGGGACATTGCTTGGACACTCTGCAATGACGTTTGGATACTTGCCTGAATCATCACAAATCTTCTCTTCATAACTTTAGTTTATTTATTATAAATATCATATTGGATTTATGTGTTAACAAGAAATGTAATGAAATATGTTGGTTGCAACTGTAATCAACATAAAAGGGTATCAACTTTTTGATTTTTCCTAAATATAATTTGTCAGAGCAAGTGAGCGGTGCCACCAAGAGAAGAGAAAAACCATCAATGGTGAAGATATTTTATTTGCCATGTCTACTTTGGGTTTTGACAACTATGTAGAACCTCTGAAGCTGTACCTGCAAAAATACAGGGAGGTAAGTACTTAATACAACATGGCATGGCAAGTTTGAGATTACATTTATATTGCACCTTCTTCTGATTGTTGTGATACGAAAAATAATAATTCTGAACTGACAGTCAGAACTGCTGAAAACAGTGAAAGCTCTGCGAGTCAGAACTGCTGAAATCAGTGATAGTTCTGTGAGTGAGAACTGCTGAAATCAGTGATAGTTCTGTGAGTGAGAACTGCTGAAATCAGTGATAGTTCTATGAGTCAGAACTGCTGAAATCAGTGATAGTTCTGTGAGTCAGAACTGCTGAAATCAGTGATAGTTCTGTGAGTGAGAACTGCTGAAAACAGTGATAGCTTTGCGAGGCTGAAAACTGATAGCTCTGCGAGTCAACTGCTGAAATCAGTGATAGTTCTGTGAGTGAGAACTGCTGAAAACAGTGATAGCTTTGCGAGGCTGAAAACTGATAGCTCTGCGAGTCAACTGCTGAAATCAGTGATAGTTCTGTGAGTGAGAACTGCTGAAATCAGTGATAGTTCTGTGAGTGAGAACTGCTGAAAACAGTGATAGCTTTGCGAGTCAACTGCTGAAAACAGTGATAGCTTTGCGAGTCAACTGCTGAAAACAGTGATACAGTACTCATTCCACCCAACCTCTCGCTTTTATCGCTTTTTTTCCGACCACTTATCGCTTAATTTCCGACCACTCGCTGCTTTCCGACCGGAAACAGACCGCTTCTTTTTCACTCGCTCACTCGCTTTTGTTCGCTTGCTCGCTCGCTCGCGTTCACTTGCTCCTGCTATGGCTGGCTTCGGAAACATCGTCCGCTTGCCAACCGACCGTACATTGTATGTGTAAACTTGTTTTATTCGTAATAAATTTTGGTTTTAATGACGATTTAAAATACTATGCGTATTGCTTCTCTGTATTGGGAGGGGGGACAAAGACGCCTTCAAATCACTTGACAAATTGTAACGTTTGCTACGCAAGTTGAATTGTGAACTGTATTTACATGTTTACGTCCTTGTGTGCATAGTGATAGCTCTGGGGTGAGAACTGCTGAAATAAGTGATAGCTCTGGGGGTGAGAACTGCTGAAATAAGTGATAGCTCTAGGGGTGAGAACTGCTGAAATCAGTGATAGCTCTAGGGGTGAGAACTGCTGGAATAAGTGATAGCTCTGGGGGTGAGAACTGCTGAAATAAGTGATAGCTCTAGGGGTGAGAACTGCTGAAATCAGTGATAGCTCTAGGGGCGAGAACTGCTGGAATAAGTGATAGCTCTGGGGGTGAGAACTGCTGAAATCAGTGATAGCTCTAGGGGTGAGAACTGCTGAAATCAGTGATAGCTCTAGGGGTGAGAACTGCTGGAATAAGTGATAGCTCTGTGGGTGAGCACTGCTGAAATCAGTGATAGCTCTGTGGGTGAGCACTGCTGAAATCAGTGATAGCTCTGCAAGTCATAACTGCTGAAATCAGTGATAGCTCTGTGGGTGAGAACTGCTGAAATCAGTAATAGCTTTTCGAGTACAGTAAAAACTTGTGTTTCTAAAAAATTGTTATTTTACTAGTGTGTCAATTTCTAGAATACTAATGAAAGTCATGCATCAAAGAAGATTGATTGAAAAATGAGCAAGTTTCTGTCAATTGATTGAATGTAGGAAGTTTATATATATTTTAACTTTTACGTTACAAGTATGGTATTTTCATTAGCTTTGCTATCATTAAATATGACACGACAGAGCTATTCATATAGGTGATTGTCCATCAATTTTATTTTCGACTTCTTGAAACCAAATAGCTCAATTGCTTGGGTGAACCTCTTTCAGATTTATACATTTTGTGACTAACATTATTAACAGGGACTTGTGTTTTGCCCTGTGTGTGTGTCCGTGCATCCGTGCGTTCATGATCAACTGTATCTCGAACATGCATGGACCGATTAAGTTCAAACTTCACTCATACATCACACATTATATGGGACATATGCACATGCATTTTTTTCATGATCCGATTAACGATAGCCGAATAGCGGCCATTTTAAGGCCGAAAATGCATCAAAATCGCACATTTTCACCATTCCGGACCCGGATCTCAGTTATGCATGGACCGTTTTTGTTCAAATTTGGTACATACATTAAACATAATAGGACCTTGATGCACGTTGTTTTTTTTTTTGGATCGGGTTCGAAATTGCCGACTGGCGGCCATTTTGTTTTAAAGAATTCAGTTCTGGATCCGTGTCTGAGACATGCTTGGATTGATCAAGTTCAAACTTCACACACACATGGTACATCATGTCACAAATAGATGTGTGCATTTGTTTCATGATTCGCTTAACAATAGCTGAATGGTGGCCATTTTAAGGCCGAAAATGCATCAAAATCACGTATTTTCACAATTCTGGAACCGGATCTCAGGCATGCATGCATGGATTTTGTTCAGATTTAGTACAATGTGTTGTTACATATGCAGGTGCATTTCGGATCAAACCAGATTTCGGTCATGATCTGCTTTCAATGTATATGTCACTCAAATATGAACGGAACAGGGACGTGTCATTGACAATGACTTGTCATATTTAATTCTCTACTTTTAGCAAATATTTTACAAAATGTTGGTGAAAACTACTATTCAATTGCTTTGATGTTTGGTATGTGGGTGGGTGGATGGATGAACGGACGGACGGACCTCTGTCAGATTTTTTTGTGAAGATATCTTCAGTTCTGTCAATTTGTCAATTTTGGTAAAAAAGTGCTATTTTTGACTTTTTCTTGAAAACTACTTTTCAATTGCTTTGCTGTAAGGTACATGGGTTGACCTCTATGAGATTTGTAACATGATAACTATTGTAATTGCCATGGCTACAGCCAAATAAACTACCATGATTGTGATATGCAAGAACACTGTTGCAACACTAATAACCATAGAAAATAGTTAATATATCATGTAAGAACATCAAGTTTGCTTTGGGGAAGACACTATAGGTCACTTCTATGTATTTACTGATCAAGTAAAGCGCATTTACATTTATCAGTTTCCTTTCAAACGGAGACTTATAGTTTAGTCTCTGTTCGTTGGGGTGTCTATCTGTCCCTCCAGAGCTGTATCTCTGGAACAATACTCTGCGCACCATACACAAACTAAATACTTTATCTGGTATGCGCGTGCGATAATTTTGTGATTCAGTCAAAGATGGTCTTCAAACTTGGTCGAAGGATTAACCATTATGGAAATTTGCTGCATGCCACTTTGATTTGTAAATTCAATTCAAAATGGCCAACCGGTGGCCACTTTGCTTTTAACCAAATGTAGTTCCAGGGTCATTATTAGTACCTGTTCGGACGCAGTTCGAAAACTGGGACTTGTGTTTTGACCCGTGTGTGTGTGTGTGTGTGTGTGTGTGTGTGTGTGTGTGTGTGTGTGTGTGTGTGTGCGTGTGTGTGTGTGTGTGTGTGCACATACATCCGGACCTGTATCTTAAAATGCCTGGACCAATCATAATTTTAAATATTCATTACAGGTTCCTTGATGTACATCATTTATTTTTCAGATCGGATTCAAAATGGCTGTCTGGCAGTCATTTTGTTTTAATGAATAGGCTTCTAGACCCATATCTCCGACTTGTTTTGACTGATTATATTCAAATTTTGAATATCCATTATACATCATGTCATAGATATACAGATGACGATCTTATTCAAAATGGCCGAATGGTGGCCATTTTTGTGCTAAAAAATCATCAAATATCAAGCATTTCTGGCATGGATGGATTTGGTTCAAACTTGGTACATACATTAACATTACGGGTTCCTGATGCACATTTTATTTTTCAGATCAGATTCAAAATGGCTGACTGGTGATTTCTAGACCCATATCTCTGACTTGTTTAGACTGATTATGTTCAAATTTTATATATTCGTTATATACCATGTTATAGATATATACATGTATTCAAAATGGCTGATTTTGTTTTAATTTAAGATGTAGTAGACTTTCGTTATAGGCAGCCAGACGACCTTGTTTTTTAATTAAATCACGTTTTTATTTTAAGAAAAAACGGCTTTTTAAAAAATAATTTACAAGTAACTGAAATCCCGGGAATGTGCACTTCGGCTAAGCCCCTATGAGCCAAAACAATAACATTTGTAATTAGCATAGTCCCGCAAATAAACATCGCTTCTATTCGTCCGGTCGAATGACCGGTTGCTGATAGTTCATCGCATCGCTTTTCTCTACTATATGTTACTGTTCATTTATTTTGTGTTGACCAAGTTTATTTTGAAAAATGGCACGGGAAAAAATCGGAAAACGAGCATTCCAATGACAAGTGAAACCTGCAAGTTTCTTAATATCAGAAAGCATATTTTTTACTACGAAGCACAGTCCCTCTACGAAACAAAGTCGGTCGAGTCGACAACAGACAAGTCTGCTCCACCACACCAGAGACTGAATACACCACCATAACCACCTCTAATTCTGACGATGATGACACCACTATTCTGTCACTGGAGGCTGATTGACACAACATCAACACACAGGATGAGCATGTCGAAACGAAAAATATCACCTGCGAAGTCTGCAGTATCTGGCAACGTTTGCGGTGAAGCGAATAACACGAGGCTTGTCGACCTGGATATATTGATTACGAATCTGGCTGACCACTGTAAATGTTCTTGGTATAAAAAGGGAAAAATATGTATCCATGAAGAATCTTGTTATGATGGCTGGGGATCTCACTTTAGTCTCCGGTGCACATGCGGCCTTTTGAACATAACACATGGCCGCGAATTGGCTAAGAATACGAGGTAGTCAAAAATAGACTAATCAGGTCCATTGTGTCGTATGGGACGACAGACTGACTTTTAAGTGAATTTGAGTGACGCGTCAGTGGTTCGTAGACAAAGCAGTTACATGTACATTCATAGCTTTTGGAAATGAAAACTGTTTTGTGCTGGTAATAATTGTATAACAATCATACTGCAAGTTGACAAAAATAAACTAAACGAAACTTCGGTTGTAACTAGTTACAGAGCAAAAACGACGACCTGTTATTCACGACAGTGCTGTCTGCAAGCTTGACTGACTTGATTTAGTCAGCAAATATAAGGCCCTTTTTTACGATTTTTAATTAACATTCAACAACAAAAGTTTCATCGCCGGTATTTAGTTAAAATAAAAAAAGCGTAGCTTAACAGAGTACTCGCATCTCATTATGTAGTTCTGCTCTAATGACATTTTCGTTCGGTTCAGATGCCATAGTTTTACGATAAAGTTGCGAGAAAGGGAGTGTAGACATGACAGTGTTCAAGTTTAACGGTCACATATCACATTTTGTACATAAACAATTGTTTGTTCTGATATGGTATAACACTCAAAACTAAGCTTATCAAGCAAATAAACTTAAATTGATAACGTAATTACACTGTTTATTCAAGGGTGGTCATACTTCGTTTTCACGTTGCTTTTTTCAAATTATTAATTTTTCATAACTTTATCGGCCATGTACCAAACAGGTTGCTTTGATTTTTATAAAACCAACACAATAGCTATCTTAAACATAAACAAATAACTGAATACGATGCGCTGAACAGAAAATCTCCTCTCGACTGTGCTACTTTTGGTTTTTGAGTCTTTTTAGCCCTTTGAAAAATAACATGTCTAAGACCACAAAAATCATGATTACGCAAACTGTTCTTGTCCGATTTCATTGATTTTTTTCAGAGATTGAACTCAAGAAATTGAAAACAAAATGTAAAATCTTTTTCAAGTATCAGTAATATTTTATGACTAATTGACCTGTGAAAACGGAGTACTCTAATTTATTACAGACTTCTTCTCAACCACTTTGTAAAAGAACCAAACAATTCAGAAACTATTTATTTTACATAATGTTTGAGAACATTGTAGTCTTCCCTTTCTCATAAAAATGTGTTGGCCAACTGTTTTTGTTTTCTAGTAGCAGTAAAAATAGCAGAACAATCGATTTTGTTTATTTAGCAGTCACGTGACGTAATTGACGTCGTTGACATTAGTGTTATCATATTTTTTGGATAAAGTGTTGCAAGGGCTACAATAACATGTAAAAATTGTTGGTCATTAATCATTATTATTATTTTTATCAAGCTTTTTCTGTTTTGCCCAACGAAAGTCTACTACATCCTTAATGCTGTTCCAGAGCAACATCTCTTTCAATATGGACAAGTACTTGTTTGACGATCAGATACAAATGTCAATCATTTTAATGTTAAACAATCATCATAATCATATTCCTGACATGGTTATATTCAAGCTATATTACTATAAACAAAACTATATATCTTAAATTCGATAACTAACGGGACTGTGCCATGCATGGCTTATTTTGACATACTTTGCTCGATCACATTCAAACTTTACACATACATACATGCACTAGTGAAAGCCAACTGAATTAAAAATTCTAGTAATTATCTGAAAGCTAAAAAACTTTGAGAGGCACAATCCTAGTTTTTCTGCTGGATGCTTCCACTCTGTTGTCATAAACAAGGGCAAGGCATAGTGCATCTAAAAATCAGAGACTTTAAAGGCCAAGTTATCCTCAACTCATTCATGCTTATGTGCATTTCATTTATTTGTAGTCAATGAAAGGAGAAAAGGTGATAAATGCAGCTGGTGGCAGACCAGAAACTTTGCCAGAAGAACTGGATGAAGATCAGTATTGTAAGTTTGTTTTTGTCCTGCTTATTCTGGCGAGAAATTGAGAAAATGCAAATTCTATTATACCAGCACGTTACTTGCCAGACAATATTGTTATGATTGGGTAATTGTTTTTAAAATGTAAGCTGTGGTTATACAGCAGATATTGTGTTTAGAAGTAGACTCCAAATGTGTATAACACATAGTAGTAGGGGTAAATCTTGCTGTCAACAGTAATCAAGAAAAATTATATTTTGTGCTACAGAAATAAATAAAAAACATTGTGACCCTCTTTTATTTCAAATTAAACAAAAATGCATAAGAACAATAGCGTCCTGTAGTGGCTTGCTTGTGAACATCCAAGTTTTGTTATTAGCCCCCGCCCCGATTGCGCCGGATCTGCGATCCGGGCAGGGGATATTAATTTGGGTCATGTCTGTGCAAATGTGTGTGCACATTTTCATGTTACCAGCTTTTTCTCACACATGTGTGATCTAATTCAGTTCAGAGTTGGTACAGAGACAGGAATTGATGGTGCTATTGTGCACATAAAGTTATTTTTTCGATTCTTCAAAGTTTCACTGTGTTTTTCCTTGATTTTTAACATTTTTCCTTCAAAATACGACTTTTCCCGAAATTACCCAAGTTTAATCCGAGTTTTGATGACGCTTACGCAGTTCTCGTCTCGGTGGAAATCAGTCATTTTTGTGAGATATGTATC